CATACAGCACATGCACGGCACTCGCTGTGATGCGCCTACAATTTCTCTATAGAGCATTATTGTATTCAATGATTCTCTAAGGCTGACCGTAACAACACTGTACATGCACACATATGCTATGGTATGAGAGGAAGTAAGATTCCCGACTCCCATACCCAGAGGGCTTGGAGGTGTGGCTTGAAGCTGATTTTCAAGCCTTCTGATTGGTCTAATATTGAGTTTTGGGAGGTGGAACGGGCAGGATTGCAGGCACTATACCAGCTTCAAAAAGATGAAGTTGTTAAAGTGCCTACAGCGTCCTTTAAGTAGTTATTATATAATATACTGGGTATGTATAACTGCATGGATGTGTGCAAAGCCTGGATTTTGTGAACAATATACACAGGCACCCTGATAGTTCAGAATCTCACACACTGGTAGTACGGTTCACAAAGCAAAGGAGATTTCTGAAAAGTATCTGTTTAATGTTTGCTCAGGGCCGTCTATACTGGGAAGAGAAGACAGCTGCTCTGCTCTGTTTTATTCTTTAGAGTGCCCATAGCAGCTACCCTTTTAGATCTCTTCATCAGGGTTTTTAAATATATGGCTCACTGGACATGTGTGGCTTGTGTGACTTGTGAATAGAGTCCAAAAAAGTAAGTGGGCATCCCAGTTCCATCTTCCTCAGACTGATTATGGGTTATTCCTGTAGCATAACAGAGCTGTCATAGTTTTTCCTCTGTGCAGGCTCAGAACACACACACACACAAATCATTGTCTTCTAGCTGTGATCCCGTGGCCACTCTCTCACCTTCAAACCTGTTTCTTACCATAATTTGTTAAAGTATTCTAAAACCTGGCCGTGATTTAAAAAAAAAATCTTATAAAATTTCTCCTTATGGTATGGATCGTTCATTTAAAAAATGTTTTTGTTGTAGTGATTTTATCTTTACCTACCTTCCACACTGAAGCATGGTCTATCACGCTACAACTTTGGGGTGTGGGAAAGTTTTGTTTTTGTCAGGATGGAAGGGGGAAATTAATTGCCCACTGAAATGGTTAAAAACCTAGCTAAATGCAAACAACTGCACGTTTTCCATAAATACTGGTGCAGCATTTCCTCACTTAAATTAAAAATATTGAGAACTTCTCATGCTAGCGATTTAAATTAACCGATACTACCCCTAACAGAACAGTAAAATAAGGTTGCACCTAAAATATACAATAAAACATATAAAATATTTAATATAAGTATTAATGTAAAATAAATAGTTGGCAGTAGTCCAAAACACTTATCATAAGTCCGTAATGGTAGGTGCCACGTAAGGAAACAGGGATTCTGAGATGTAAAGTGGAGTAGGTCTTCACAATTATATGCTTGAGATCCAGTAGAGCATATGTAGAAAAAAAAGACAGAAACAGGACTCCAATGGCACAGTATATAGATTAATAAAATAAAAATAGTCTTACTCACACTTTTCAGAGCTAAAACCTAGCTCTGATATTGCACACGTGAAGTGGAATAATCCCCACTCAAGGATATGCGGAGTAATATTTGATTGGCGAATATCTGGCTCAAAATTCGGCGTCCGAATTAGTGTTATTCGACCCAGGAAAAAAAGAGATAAAATATAGTGCTCTCTGTATGGTAATGAAAAATTATAAAAGAGTATAAAATATACTACTCACATTATTTAGAGCAAGCTTATACTGCTCGGTGTAAGCGCTTGGGTGGTATAATCCCCACCTATGGATTCTTTAGGCTTCTCGTAAAATATGCAGCATGTGTATAGTCAGGTGAAAAAAGAAAGAAAATGGCAATAAAGTATTTTATGCCAAAATAATTTCTTTATTATAAAGTAGTAAAAATAGTATCTAAACGCGTTTTGCCTCAAAGGCTTCTTCAAGTAGATAATAGTAAAAAAGGGAACACACCTGACATGCAAAGGTTTATATAAGATACAATAATGCTATGGAATTTTGAAATTCCCGCCAAAATGACGTCATAAACACCATGATATTAAAATACAAATCAAAACAATGAATAAAACATAGATTTCTGTAAATACAGATAACATGAGGTAGATACATAAATTAAAAATGTAATCTACTTGAAGAAGCCCTTGAGGCGAAACGCATTTGGATACTATTTTTACTACTTTATAATAAAGAAATTATTTTGGCATAAAATACTTTATTGCCATTTTCTTTCTTTTTTCACCTGACTATACACATACTGCATATTTTATGAGACGCCTAAAGAATCCTTAGGTGGGGATTATACCACCCAAGCGCTTACACCGAGCAGTACAAGCCTGCTTTAAATAATGTGAGTAGAATATTTTATACTCTTTTATAATTTTTAATTACCATACAGAGAGCACTATATTTTATCTTTTTTTTCCTGGGTCGAATAACACTAATTTAGACGCCGAATTTTAAGCCAGATATTCGCCAATCAAATATTACTCTGCATATCCTTGAGTGGGGATTATTCCACTTCACGTGTGCAATATCAGAGCTAGGTTTTAGCTCTGAAAAGTGTGAGTAAGACTATTTTTATTTTATTATATTTTATTCATCTATATACTGTGCCATTGGAGTCCTGTTTCTGTCTTTTTTTTTTTCTACATATACTCTACTGGATCTCAAGCATATAATTGTGAAGACCTACTCCACTTTACATCTCAGAATCCCTGTTTCCATACGTGGCACCTACCATTACGGACTTATGATAAGTGTTTTGGACTACTGCCAACTATTTATTTTACATTAATACTTATATTAAATATTTTATATGTTTTTTTTGTATATTTTAGGCGCAACCTTAATTTACTGTTCTGTTTTTGTATTTCTTCTTACCACCAGGGGATTATAGGGGACTCCCCTTTGAGGAGTGCAGCCTTATTACTATTATTTTCTTGTGTGGCAACCTAGCGCTGATTTCTTTCTTCCTATTTTCTTTACATACTACCCCTAACCCTAGCCTTGCATACTATGTGTATAACCGCCCACAGTTTTCCTAACTCTCAAACATGATTAACGCTAACCTTTCCCTAGGCCTAACCTTCAGACAGACAACTATCAGGATATAATCCTGTGATTGGTGAGTGGAGCACTAAACAACAAGTATTTTGCATGCAATAATTGCTTGCCCCTAATGCAAAAATATGGAAGTCTTGATACAATAAATCATGCAAAAGATAAAAACAGAACAAACACTAGTGCAGATGGTACTTATATAGAATATAAACAGTGCGAACAGGTGTAAGAAGTAAACTCACAATGTTCAGAGCCTGAAAATTAAGGCTATATATAGACGCAGTGGTGCTCATATAGGTGGCACCCCACCTTCTTCAAATGGATTTGACTCTCGAAATAGAACAAAGAGAACCGGAAATTATGGTGCAGTTTGTCACTTTCAACTGGTGAACTAGACGTAAATATCAAGGAGACTCTCATCATATATAGGCCTAACCTTCACCTTAAGGAAACACTCTGTTGAAATTGGTTATTATATCAGCAGGAGGTTTTACTTGATAATACAGTACAGAGTGTTATGTTTCCACCACCTACTGGCTGTTTTCAGCATTACAAGGATATCCCTGTAATGCCGAAACTCCAGCATTCTGATGGCACTATGATCTGTACTGTGCAGCTGACAAAGACCAACACAAATCACAAACAGCATGGGGTCATGCTGGGGGGCCCTTGAGCACCTGCCAGTCCAGAGAGATTGCCCTCCGCCGTGTTGAATCAAGGTTCAAGGTTTAAAGGGCTATATTGAGTGCTCCCTTTGATCTCTGCATACATCTCATCCTTCAGCCTGTGGCCATTAAATGTGGCCCCAGTTATCAATTGGTACCAAAGTCTTCCAGGGGTCACCCCTGTTCACACCACATTGTAGCAATATGCATTTAAATCCATTTTTAAAGTGCTATATGCTGCGCTCATTTTGAGTGATGCATACAGGGCATTTGACAGTCTGGAGTCATTTAAACTGGCCACAGCTGACAGGAGAGTCCCAGATATCAATTGCTACTTGGGACTCCATTGTATGAGTAGGAATTTAACCCTGCCCTGCTCACACCAAAACTTTGTGTCAGTACATCCTAACATCATTAAAGGACCACTTCAGCTTAATGAAGTGGTCTGGGTGCCAGGTCCAGCTAGGGTTAACCCATTGTTTTATAAACATAGCAGTTTCAAAGAAACTGCTATGTTTATAAATAGGTTAATCCAGCCTCTAAAGCCCCTAGTGGCTCTCTCATTGACAGCCGCTAGAGGCATTGCGTGCTTCTCACTGTGAAAATCAGTGAGAAGACGCAGCGTCATAGGAAAGCATTATGAATGCTTTCCTAGGAGACTGGCTGAATGCGCTGCCGCAGCTCCTGCCGCCAGCATGCCATTCAGCCAAGAGGCGAGAGAGAGAGAGCTCCCTGCCCGGCGCTGGAGAAAGGTAAGATTTTAAGCCTGGCGGGAGGGGGTCCCTGAGGGTGGGGGCACCCTCAGGGCACTATAGTGCCAGGAAAACGAGTATGTTTTCCTGGCACTATAGTGGTCCTTTAAAGCTCGGTTTAGCTAGGATATAATGACTTGTTCTAATGACATGAAGTGGTTAAACATTGTTTGTAAACCTTTCATAGAAGGCATTGACTATTAATTATGTTCTTCCTTGTGCACATTCTTTAAAAGTCCAGGTCTAAACATATGGGATATTTTTTTTTTTCTCACTGATATAGTCTGCCCACTCTTCTATAACGGTTACTCTAGCTGTGCAATCACATTCTAAGTCATACCTTACCATTGTTATTTTTATATGCTGTAGCTTCAGTTTCTAAGGATGTGAAGTTTGTTTCATGTTTTGTATTTTTTCTTGCAGAATTTAATATGGGGTTTGAAATCCCGCTTTCTCTTTGGTGGTACCAAGAACCTCTAAAATAATCCTGAAGCACATGTTGAAGAGCGCATTGAGGACCCTGGCCAGTTTGTCCAAATAGACCAGTGATCTCATAGATGCTATGGAGGAAGAAGTCATAGAATGGCTTGCTGCCTCAGTACATCGACTAGTTTCCTGGGGTGCTTCGACCGCCATGATCTTTGGAGGGGTCGTGCCTTATATCCCGCAATACAGAGACATTAGACGAACACAGAACGCTGAAGGATTCTCCACTTATGTCTGTCTTATGCTTTTGGTTGCAAATATTCTACGAATACTCTTCTGGTAAGTGACTCTAGTGTCTAGTGCAGCATATGTGAAGAATATCTTGGCATAAAATTCTTCTACGTAGTGGCTTGTAATACCATTCTACTTGTGTGGAACAGGTACCTTACTGTTTATAATAACTGACTTACACACAACCTTAATTTCTGCCAGGACCCAGCCCAAAACCAAAAAAGTGGAATGGAAGAAACCTCAGCCATTTAGGAAATAGAAATTTAGAGCCTGCTAAATGGAATTTATAGATGCTAGATACGCTGTTTAAATTCTCAACCAGCTTCCATATTTTGATGCAGGTTAAAGTCCAGTACAAGTCCATACAGAATCATTATTTCACCTCTGTCCCACACAGTGCAAGGAGCAGGTGACATCATTGTATCTCCACGGTGCCCCCTCACTCACTTGGCAGACAATGTAGAGATTTTAACCTCCGTTGGCTATGATGAAAGTTATAGTAATCAAAAAAATGAAATAAGTCAGAAATATGAATGGGAGACATGTGACCACAATGCAGATCTGTCTCCTATTCATAGTTATTTATAATTATGACTGACATTTCAATTTATCATCAGTATTTTGCTGCTGATTGCATACAGCATCGTGAAATTTCCATAAATCTATTATATATATTTTTTTTAATTATTTGAACCCATGGAGAGTGGGGCATGAGGCAATAGTGGGGCAGTGGAAATCTGCTTGTTAGGTCCAATTTTTTATTCATAGGCCGGCAACAGACACTGACCAGCATTTGTAGAATGTAATCACTACTATTTGTATTAGCAAACGCAAGCAAAAATGACGGTAACTATTATGAATGGATGACAGATGACCGTTATACTCATTGCCAAGACATGTTTCCCATTGATAACTTGATGGCCATTCCAATTTGCTATTGGTACAATAATTATATTGGCAGGACACATGGTGCACACTTTCCTTGAAATAAAGTGCAAGGAATTGAGATTGTTGTTCAGGGGCTCTTTTAGCCACAAAAGGAGTAGAAATCTGAAGATTTCATCCTTGCCATTGAACACCAAAAACATAATGTTTCAATCTTCCATTTTGTAATTTTGTGGAGAATTTAGGTGAAGGTGAGATGTAGTTAATTCATGCTTTTCTTTAACATATGTATCTGTGTTGTTTTTGTCAGGTTTGGGCGCCATTTTGAATCACCACTTTTGTGGCAGAGTATAATTATGATTGTTACAATGCTGCTTATGTTGAAACTATGTACAGAGGTTCGTGTGGCAAGTGATATAAACACAAAGCGACGGTCATTCTCAGGTATGTAATGTTAAGATGCTCTGTCACAGTATTCCATGTAATCTTATTTTACACTTTTCCACCTAAGTCCTTCCCAGTTTCCTAAGTGGTTCATCAACCCTGATGATTGTACCCATTCCACTGACGTGTAATTTAAGAGCAGTTTAATACATGTGGGGGAATTTATTCAGTAGGCTCCAAATTGTAAAACTTAGACTTAAATTGCTAATTTAGAAAAATTCTCCAAACCTTTTATAGTCACAGTTTGGCTATTTTAGCCTAAATTTAGCAATTTACTTTTCCACTTGTGACTTGTTACAGTTCTGTGTTTAGTGTATAGATCCAAGACCATATTTGCATATTTAAAACCGGTTTCAAGGTGCTTAATTGAGACAACACATTGGAGAAACCTATACAAAAAATAATTTAAAGAATTGTAGATATGAAGATTAACTCAGAATTTCACTTAATTTTCTATATATTATTGGGGTCTGCAACAGGCCAGGAAGTGACAGGTCTTCCCGTTGTTTTCAGTGAGAAAATTGGGAATATCCTATAAACACTCACTCTGGTAGCCTTTATGACATATATAGTTTACACTTACCTGCTGTCAGTAATTTGATAAACATTAAAGGACCACTCTAGGCACCCAGACCACTTCAGCTTAATGAAGTCGTCTGGGTGCCAGGTCCCTCTAGGATTAACCCTTTTTTTTATAAACATAGAAGTATCAGAGAAACTGCTATGTTTATAAATGGGTTAATCCAGCCTCCAAAGCATCTAGTGGCTGTCTCATTGACAGCTGCTAGAGAAGACTCCAGCGTCCATAGGAAAGCATTCTGAATGCTTTCCTATGAGACCGGCTGAATGCGCGCGCAGCTCCTGCCGCGCATGCGCATTCAGCAGAAGAGGAGGATCGGAGGCGGAGAGGAGGAGGAGGAGGAGAACTCCCCGCCCGGCGCTGGAAAAAAAGTAAGTTTAATCCCTTTCCTCTCTCCAGAGCCCAGCGGGAGGGGGACCCTGAGGGTGGGGGCACCCTCAGGGCACTATAGTGCCAGAAAAACTAGTGTTTTCCTGGCACTATAGTGGTCCTTTAATAAAACTACTCGCCAAGCTTACTGTGCATGTCAAGTATCGTCACTGATAGATTTTCAATGAATAACATTGTTGTCTGGTCTGCGTGTAACGCAGCGCAAATTTTGGGGGCAAAAATCAGTTTAGTTTTAATCGTTTTAGTTGTATTTTAGTAAACTGCATTGTTTTTGTTTTACCCGACTAAATCTCCAGTAGATATTAGTCAACACGACTAAAATCTAATGGGTTTAGTTAAAGCCTCTGTCTCTTTTGCCCCTCTAGGTATCTCTTTTCTAAGCCCTGGTCTGTCTCTTGTCCCTTCCACAGACCCTCTGTGCAGTGTTAATTTTGATGGCAAATTTCCATTAAGTTTTAGTCAAAGTCTCTTGATTAAAAAGCCATTTTAGTTTGTCGTATTTTAGTCATCTGAATTATTTTAATTTTAGTCTAGTTTTGGTAGACTAAAATCTGACTAAATTTGTTAGTCGTTAACACTGGGGCAATGACTACGTTTTACTCCCCAGGTTGTTCTAATAACATTTCCCATGATGCTTCACCATCTTTAATATCTGATGTGCCAGTGGTTATCATCAAGGTATACTGTATATTCCAAAGTTGGTTCACATGCATGTATGTTGCTGGCCACATACAAGATCTGTGTTTACTCTGCAGACAGGTTTAAAAAAAATGTCAAGATTACAGGAGAAATGGCGTGTCAGAAAGGGAAAGAATCAGGTTGTAATCTTTGATCGTAAATAGATTTTTAATTGAAGAGATATGTAATTAATATTACATGCTGGATGGATAAATAATTAATAATACATGTTTTTTTTATTTTTTATTATGGAGTGGAATGTATTTTTCAGCACTGAACAACTTAAAGGAATAAACACAATGGAAATTGCAAATTGTTATGTAGCAGCTTCCAATATACTTGTGTGTACTCTGAAGGAACTGAGACTTGTGTTTGTGACAGTCATGTTTTACCTTACTACAGTAATCTCTGTTAAATTACTTACTAGGATGAGACATGCAAACATTTTCAATGAAGTTAGTCTGTTTAAATATCTTGAATTGACATTCATTTTGTGCAGTTGTTTCATATTGACCTCTGGCATGTTAAGACCCATTTTTTGCTTCTAGCATATGATCTCCATTCATTTTTGTGAAATTTGTATCTGTGTTTCTGTGTTTTTATTAATTTTTGCTGCTGCTGAAAAATGGTGCAAAGTTCTAACAGTGAGGCATTCACCACAGAAGCCGGTAGTAACCGTCTGTGAATTTCGTTGGTAATAATTTGAAGTTAACAACTCTGCAGTTAAAGAGATATAATCCATTTTGTCTTTTTTTTATTTTTTTTTATTGCTCCTTTAGACGTTAATGATTCAAACATTTTTGGGAAGGAGCAATATGTAAAGATGTGTTTATTTTGAAGGGGGCACATTCACTAATATTATTATGATAATTGCCATTTATATAGCGCCAACAGATTCCGTAGCGTTTTACAATATTATAAGAGGGGGGATTTAGCTATAAATAGGACAATTACAAGAAAACTTACAGGAATGATAGATTGAAGAGAACCCTGTTCAAACGAGCCTACAGTCTACAGTGTCTACAGTAAAACACATTAGGACAGGGAATAGCAATCAAAAATAGGTTGGAGTGAAGCAGAGCTGGAGGAGAGAGTAGAGTGACAGGTGACAGAGCTGGAGGAGAGAGCAAGGGACAGGTATGTAAAGTAGAGGTTACTCTGGGAGGCCATAAGCTTTCCTAAAGAGATGGGTTTTAAGGCACTTCTTAAACAATTGAAGACTAGGGGAAAGTCTAATGGCTGTAGGCAGGCTATTCCATAGGAAAGGAGCAACCTGCGAGAAGTCCTGCAAGTGTGAGTTGGCCGTACGGGTGCAAGCAGAGACCGATAAGGGGCATACCTATGGATCTGTGGGGGCTAGAATTGGTCCATGCTTTATAGGTATGGGTTAGCACTTTGAATTGACTCCTATAGGGTACAGGAAGCCAATGTAAGGACTGACAGAGGGGTGAGGTGTGAGAGGACTGACTAGAGAGGAAAATCAGTCTGGCAACAGCATTCATTACAGACTGTAGCGGGGCAATACAATTTTTGGGAAGACCAATTACGAGAGGGTTTCAATAATCCATGAAATTACTAGAGCATGGACAAGCTCTTTAGTAGCATCTTGCGTAAGAAAGGGGCGGGTGCGGGCTATGTTTTTAAGATGGAAGCTACAGGATTTGGTAACATGCTGGATGTGAGTCTCAAAGGTGGGGCCAGTGTCAAATATGACACCAAGACAGCGAGCTTGAATGGACTGATGTGGATACCACTTACTTCAAGGGAAAGCAAAAGAGGAGGATCAGTATTAGGAGGAGGAAATACAAGGAGTTCAGTTTTAAAGAGATTTAGTTTTAGAAAGCCGGAGGACATCCAGTCAGAGATGGAGGAAAGGCAATCAGTGACCTGTTGCAGGATGGCAGGAGAGGGGTCTGGGGAGGAGTGCTAAAAATGGGTGCCATTAGCATACAGGTGTTAGTGAAATACAAACGAGGCAATAAGTTTGCCATGACAGGCAGTATAAAGAGAAAATAGAAGGGGACCAAGGACGGAGCTTTGGGTGACTCCAACTAAGACAGGAGGAAGGGATGAGGTATCATTAGAAAAGGAGACGCTGAATGAGCGTTGGGAGAGATACGAGGAAAACCACGAGAGGACAAAGTCACAGAGACTGAGTGATTGAAGAGTTTGAAGAAGGAGAGCAAGATCAATGGTGTCAAAGGCAGTAGAGAGGTCAAGAATAATTAGTATAGAGTAGTGACCTTTGGATTTAGCTGCGGTTAGGTCATTAGTAACTTTAATAAGAGCAGTCTCAGTAGAGTGGAGGGGGCGGAAGCCAGATTGAAGAGGGTCAAGGAGAGTGTTGGATTTGAGGAAGTGAGCCATATGGATAGACAAGTCTTTCCAGAAGCTTTCAGGAAAAAGGGAGCACGGATATGGGACGATAGTTAGAGGGAGTGGATGGGTCAAGGGATTTTTATTTCAGGATAGGTATTACAGTAGCATGTTTAAGGTCAGCAGGGACAATACCAGAAGAGAGAGAGCAGTTGTTTTTAGTCGAGATATTCACAGGATTAAACAGCCAGTGTGCATTATTTAGTATGTTGCAAACCTCTGTGGAGTCATCACTTTGTTTTCGCTAATACAAATACACAAAAATAAGTTCTGCGCTCAGACTCTCCTACTCCTGGGTGGGATTGTACACATCAGCCCCAACACATTTTTTTGGCTAACTGCTGTCCTGAGTACTGCTGCAAACTCATGCAGGAACTAATGGAACAAAGTGTCCAGACACTTATTTCAGAGTAAATTCAATGATACTTTGAATAACATACTGTGTGCTTTACAAGGCCTCTGATAGCAAATAGAATCTCAGGAATAAGTTCAGCATAGCAAGTGTCTACAGGTGATATTTCAAATGCGTTTCTGATATATTCTGCGATTTACATTTGATGGAGGACTTCTAGTGTTTTGGTATTTTTGCTGGCGTAATGAATAAATCCATAAAGTCAAATAGCCTGACCTTCTAAAATACTGGTACATGTTAAGCTTAGACCCTTCACTGCTAGTCTATCAGTTAGGCTGCTTAACTCTTCTATTAAATGGAGCACAATATTATAGATTATTAGTGACTCGTGTAATTATCAGGTGCTGATTTCAGTGCTGGCACCTATACATTTTTTGGGGTCTATTTTACAGGGATATCTTTACATGTGTCTGCTTGTGACTCGCACTGAGCTCAGGCTAACTGCTGAAATGATGGGACCGTTCAACTAAATTAATATGCACACTGATTGAGCTTTGAACAACCATAGCAAATAAAACCATTGCAAATAAAATACAAAGTAATATTCATTATACATAAGCTACATAAAAAAAAAAATGTATTTTGAATATTTTATGTATAATTAATATGACTATTTTATGTGTGATAATTCATAAAGAGGAATAAAAAAAATGTGTGTGTGTGTGTGTGTGTGTGTGTGTGTGTATATATATATATATTGTAACACACCACCTCTTTTCCAGGTAGGATTTTGTCACAGATCTTGTAACCACAGCCTTCTAGGGTAATGAAAGTCTAGGACACATCCAGCTCAGTTTTTCAGATTTATTCGGTGAAATATATATACAGGTGTTTCAAAATGAAAAATAAACAAAACAAAATTCCTTGCTCTTGCTTGAGCACTTACTATATACAGCAAATCCCTATCTGGAATTGGGTGGCTTTCCCACTTGCCAATTTACAAAAAGTATAACTGCAAGACCCCATTCCTCTTGCCTTTCCTCCTCACTCTGCAGCATGCTGATCCCTTCTTTTTAAAAGCCTGCTAGCTAATTGATCAGATACAGGTGAGGTGCAATTAGACATAAGTGAAACTACTAAGCAAAATAAAAGTTCTGGTCTGACTGATACTTAGCAGCTGGTGCTATTGGAGCACTGGCCCACTCTGCTCTCCAAGTGCTCTGCCCCTGGGACCCATACCGTGGTTTGCAGAGTACCAGTAATGCATCTTGCAAACCTAACATCTCTCCCTGGGACATTTAACTCTCAAACCTCAGGCTGCTGTTCAGTAAATCAGGCCTAATATATATGCTATCAACTACCAAACCACATTTTCTCTCAATATATATATATATATATATATATATATATATATATATATATATATATATATATATATATATATATATATATATCTCTATCTATATCCCTGATCTGTGCCTTCAAGCGCACCTGTCTGATACAAGAAAAGTTACTAGCTAGCTAAATCAGTTAAACCTGCAATCCTTGTCCAGTTGCCCAGAGAGCAATTAATTAGCAATGATAATCAGTTCCAAGGTGTATTGGCAATCGGTGGTCAGCTCTATTTCTAAATTTAGAACATGAGAAGTTTTAACAGTAACAGGTTCGACTTTGCCTTTCTTACAAGATATGGCAAGGCAAACCTGATGGAAAAGTCTATTCGAAAAAATTGGCCGATTTTATTACAAGATCAATATTTAAAGAAGATCTTACCCCAAAACCCGCAGGTGTATAAAAAAACGAGTAATCTGAAAAGTATTTTAGCCCCCAGCATACTCCCTAAGAAAGAGGTTGAGAAAAATCATCTTAATTTTTTATCTGGGAAACCTAAAGGTTTTGTTAAATGCGGTAGATGCAGCACATGTAAGTTTCAAGTGAGTAAAACTACAGCATTTAAGAGCTCAGACATGAATGAGGTTTTTAAGGTAAAACATTTTATAAATTGTCAGAGCAGGTTTGTAGTGTACTTGTTAGAATGTAAATGTGGCGTCCAATACATAGGTCGTACCATTAGAAAGTTACATGTGAGACTTTTAGAACATTTTAATGGAATTAATAATACAAATATGAAACACAGTGTCCCTAAGCATTGCACTACCTGTAAAGATTTTAACTGGAAAGATTATTTATGTATTGGGATTGATCTTATTGTACCACATTGGAGGGTGTGGAGGGGGGACTGAGAAAACGTTGGCTATGAGGGAGACCGAATGGATATATAAGGTGAAAACTTCGGTCCCCTCAGGTCTTAATACAGACCTTGATATATTGGCTTTTATGGACTGACCGTGTACTAACCATTTTTTCTTCTCCTGTGTCCTGTATATTTTACTTATATTTTACTTTTATTTCTTTTTTATCTGCCATGTATTTTTAATTAGTGAAAGTAAGAAAACTCCCGGAGTCTTCCATTCTGGGCAATTTTTGGGATCTTGAAGAATTATCGACTGGTTTCTCGCATTTATTACACTATGCTAATTTTGCACATGCTTATATATTTTGTATCTTATGTTTTACGTTCAAATGATCTGTCTCTTTACACATTTTATTGTCAGTCTCCCTCGATATGTACAATGAGTACATTAATTGATCCAGTAACTATGATCCGTTACTCTCTGATTATAAGAATTGTTATGAACCTACTTGTTTTGTACACTTTCTTGTATATTCTGTTTCGTGCCTCATAGATACGATGGAGGAGTTAGATTTTATTTGTTAGCCTTAGCAATATCTATGTAATAATTTGAATGACACACCATGATACAAATGGACTATTTTTTATTATTACATATATATTTTTACATATTTTTGTTTATTTTTATATATATTTCTCCACATTAATTTTGATTGATTTTGACTACTTATCTTTTATCTATTTTTTATACTTTTTTTTTTTCCTCCATATTTCTCCACAAGTCCTTTATACTTTGCTCCACCTGAGCCATTTATTACCATTTATTTGGTCCAATTTGTATCCTTAATATCTGTTGTTAGTTTTCTATGTTAGTCTATAGTTCCTACAGTAGGCAGGGC